TTTTCTTGTGGTGGAACTTTTCCGCACGCTGAAGGAAGGAGGAAATGTCCAGCCCGGGGAAAGAAATGCTTGACGTGTAACAAAATGAATCATTTCGCCAAATGTTGTGGGATGAAAGGAAAAGAAGACAAGGGTGTGCTGAAAGCAATCGAAAAGGACTCGAGTAGTAGCGATGCGGAATCCCTTTGTGGTATTGAGAAAGTTGGGGCAGTCAAACACAATTAGGGCCCGTGAGCAGTGTGACAGTGGAAAATCGTGAAATTCAAGTGCTGGTGGATACAGGGGCCAGGTAAATGTAATGGAGGAGATAACGTTTAAGAGGTTACTGGCCGATAAAGTGATATTGAGAAGGTCATCGAGTGTTTTGCGTGCATACCAATCGAACGATAACCCTCGGCGCCTCTGAAGGTCATGGGAATCTTTGAGGCGATTGTTGAGTCGAACACCAGAATCGCCCTTGCCACGTTTCATGTTACAAAGGGACATACGAACACTGAGCCCTTGATAGGTTTCCAGACCGCGGGGGACCTTGGTGTTGTTAAGATGGCAAACACGGTCCAGAGTAAGGAAACAATCACAAGCAATCTGTAAAAAGAGTACGCAGATCTGTTCCGCGGTATCGGAAAGATGAAAGGAGTGAAGGTAGATTTGCACGTTGACCCCGCAATAACACCGGTTGCACAGGCCCACAGGAGAATACCGTTCAGTGTAAGACCCAAGCTGGAAGCAGAATTGGAGAAACTCGAGGCCGACGGCATAATTGAGAGGGTAGATAAGCCTACCAATTGAGTGTCCCCTGTAGTTATAACGCTGAAGCGGTCCAGCAATGAAATACGATTGAATGTGGATATGAGGGAAGCAAATAAAGCCATTCCACGAACCCACACTGTCAGGCCGACACTTGATGATATCATAAATGAGCTCAATGGTGCCACAGTGTTTTCTCATTTTGATATGAACCATGGGTACCACCGACTGGTACTGAAGGAGAATAGCCGCGACATCGCCACTTTTGCTACACACGTAGGTCTCTACAGGTACAAGAGACTCAATTTTGGTACGAGATTCCGCTGGGGAGATATTCCAGGAAACCGTCCGAAAAGAAATCACTCGAGACATAGTGGGATGCACCAACATCAGTGACGATATCCTTGTATTCGGCAGGAGCCAAAAGGAACATGATCAGAATTTAAAGAAGTTGTTTAAGAGAGCTAGAGAGAAAGAAATCACCTTCAACAATGATAAATGCGGATTCAATAAGGATATTAGTGCCTGTATTACGGAATGGCGTCCTTGAAAGAAGGGGCCTCCCCTGATCCCATGAAGGTAGAGGCCATTAAACAGGCTGAGCTCCCACGCAACGCCAAAGAACTGAATTCGTTTCTGTGCACCGTCCAGTGCAATGCAGGGTTCATGGAGAGTTACTGATTTTGAGCTCGATTCGCGACTTTACAGTTACCCTGATCGACTCAAATTCCCCGCTGACTCAAAATGTTTTTCGTTTCCCTTTAGAGCTCGATTTACCGGGGTTCTACTGTAAATGACTTTACTCCAAAATATTTGAAATGCAAATGAGCATTAAACAAAAGGGATTCTATGCACTGCTGGAATTCATGCCCGTCCAGCGTTCCAGTGAAGAGACGTTTAAAAGTTTGTTTTGACTGTAAATATTGAAATAAGCAATTGCCCGGTGACATAATATGACATTAAAAACTAGTAAAAAAAAAATAATTCTTGCTCGGTGACATAAAAAAAAAATGACATAATGATATAACAATTCACCGATCGCAAGGCTCTTGCGATGTACGTTCTCATACGGTCTCTGTGGTAACCAAGGGCGATTGTCGCTCTGAAATATTTAACTGGCTCAAGGCCCAACAACTTTTCTGGAAAGCTCTGGTAAAGAGAATGCCTATTCCCTGGAGCGAGAGACGACGGGGAGAAGAGGTACCTATTATTAGAGAGATGACGATTGTGTGATATGCGAAATCGCGCGCGATCACTGTGTTATTTTTGGAAAGGGGGGGGGGGACGTATTTTACCTAATTGTTAATTAGGAAAACATGGGCGTAAGGAGTCCCCGCTCGTACAGTATGCTTTATCCACCATCAGCCCCCTCCCCATTGTCTCGCGCTTCTCGCTTATTCTTGCTTATTCTCGCTTATTCTTATTCTTCTCGCTTAATTCTTGCGTAGCCTGCGTTAAAGACGAAACTAAACTTCAGGGCCGAGTTGTTCAAAGCTGGAAAGCAAAGCAAAGTTGTCTCGCGCTTCTCGCTTATTCTCGCTTATTCTTATTCTTCTCGCTTAATTCTTGCGTAGCCTGCGTTAAAGACGAAACTAAACTTCAGGGCCGAGTTGTTCAAAGCTGGGTTAAGATAACCCAGGGTAAGCGCGAGATTTGAATTCAGATTTGAGAGCTTAAAAGGCATTTCCGTTTTAATTCTTTTTGTCTACAAGTTGATGCTTGGAAGCTCTAAAAATAACAGAGAAAATTATCACAGAAAATGCTTTTGAACACAAGAAAGAAAAGCCCGGGTTAAATTTAACCCCGGGTTAAGCGCTAATCGGCCTTCGAACAACTGGGCCCTGGTTAAGTCCGTCTACGAAATAGCGCCTAAATCCCTGTTCTGGGCCCCCACCTGAGTATCATGAGTTTGGGAGTGCGCGCCATGATTTGCCTGTTAAAAAAGCCATTGTGGATTTGTCAATCAGGATGAAAGGAAATTCGAAAACAAAGTTCCGGTAATTCGTTGAGTCCTTTGGGGGACCAGAACAAGGATCTCGGCGCTGCTTTGCAGGCATTACTAACATTACATCTAAATTACGTCATCTCTCTCGCTTCTCGCTTGTCTCCAGTACCGGCAAGTGCTTGCTCCCCACTAAGCCTGGGGAAAGCTTCTGGACGGGCGGCAGAAGAAAAGGTATCATGAGGAATAATGGTTTTACATTTTTTGTGTGTTTCTGTTTTATATCGAGTCTGATTTATCACAGTTTTTCTCGTAGAGTTTTTGTGTGTTTCCCTTTTGGCAGATGTGTTTCAGTTTCTCTCACAGCAGGCGCTCCGTTCTCTTTCCCCATTTTCGCGCTTTCCTCCCTCCCCCATCCTCCTCCCCTCTCCTTCCCCTTTTTGCGCCTGCCGCGCAGGCTAGTTTTCAGTGATCAAGCGCTCTTTTGATGTTGAGCTTGGATGGATCAGGGATACGAAAGTCAATAGTGTCTCATGTGCATTTTTTTTTCAGGCAACTTCCTGTCGTAAAACGAGATCAGTTTCAGCCCTTTTTCAATTAAGGATAGCAGAAGACGTGTCTTAAATTTTGAGATCTATTTCCCCAAAATTTGTCTTTCTAGGAGTTTGTTCAACCGCAAATCGTATGGTGGAGTGGCGAGTTAACGTGTTCATTAGGCCATTTCCGAATTCTAAAAAAACCCTCAGTTGCAAAATGAGGCCAAGTGCACATCCTTGCTTGTTTTAACAAATGAGTTTTATTTTCATGAGAATGAAAGTCATTTCCATATAAAAAGCTGAGGACTTAATCTCGTTTTGATACAGAGGCTCTGGAGAACTCGGAAGTCGTCCATTATTTTTCATTTCCACCTGAACGCACTAACTTTGGTCAACTTTCCCTTGGGAGAAACTAGAGATTTAAATTAACATTTGATTGACGTGTTATCGCCTCTCAGAAGCCAATTATGAACTCCCTTACGCCTGGTTGTTGAACTATTCAAATACGCAGGAATTAGGGCAGATTATGATTTGACTTGCTCCCAATGCAATCTTCACGCGACTCTGCTTCGACACACAAAAACACTACAGCACTAACCTGCTAATCCCGCTCGCTTCGAAGGCTATATTAGTTTAGAATTTCGGAGTTCGGTGATTTCGAAGCCTTGACAGGGTCTTTTTGTTGTTTGGTGTTGCCGAAGCCATCGTTAGTTTGCTTTTCTATTTTTATGTTGTGGTGTGGATATTGTCAGAGTGTCCTTTAAGTATTTTGTTTTAAGTCATTTGGCGATTGCACCCGTCCAGAAAGACGGTTTATGTTTTTGCGGGAAAGGCGGTCTTGTAAATATCGGCATTGCAGGGGTCTGGCAAGAATCGTAATTTATCCTCACTGCATACCCATTACCACATCACGGTAAACTAAGTTATGGGAGGAGACTGCGACAACTGTGGCAACTAAGGTATGCAGCGGTTTAGCGTAGCTGCGTCGACCGGCACCAGGGGAGGAGGGTGGTGCGACAGAAGCTTCCTTCACCGGAACGCGGGCAAAATGACAACGATCGAGGCAAAACACGAGAATTTAAGCAAAGAGACCGCAAAGCATCATACCTGCCCCGAAGACTCAGAGCACGGCGGAATCCGAAGGAAATAGCTCAAATTCTGTGATGCGCTAATAATGTATGCAGTGAGAATAGTAATTTAGCTTCACTGCATACCCATTACCACATCACGGTAAACTAAGTTATGGGAGGAGACCGCTCCAACCCTTGACACCACGCTACAGCTACCCGACTGACCCCAAAAAGCACTCCGAAACATACAAAACCACACAACAAAAGCTACAGAACACAATTTTAATCCAACCTCTCCCATTACTCAGAAATCCTCTTCAACCCTGATAGGAGGACTAGGGGTAACAATAACAGATGAAAGTGAAAATCGTTCAATTGGAACAAACGGGTTGCAGATTGTCGGGGTGAGACACAGGCACTGTGACCAGACCAGTAGCACTAGGAAGGACGTCCTCGAAGATCGTGAGAGACGCCGCCGCATCAGACGAACGGGAGTAATGTTGAGCCATCTCCTCACTCTTCCAACCTAGATACTGTGCAACCTGCTGTTGAGAACAACCTAGCAATCTCAAAGTAGTGGACAAACCCACCCGGAAACTATGAGGGGTTTCACCGTCATGAAGCTTAGCTTCGGTGAGATACCCCCGAAGACGGTTATTAACAGCCGAGCCGACGAAGGGCCTGGGACTGACATCTCTACCGCGGTCAGAAGCCCGAAAAAAAAAAACCCGAAGCTAAGCGGACCTTAACTAAATCACACACAGAGAGATAATAAGTTATCCAATTAACCGGGCACACGTCTGTTTTTCAAAAGGGAACCAAGGCGAAAGAACGAGGGGGGTCTTTACGCAAAGTTTTAGAAAAGGTAAAACGCAACAAGTAACCCTCGCGATCTTTTAATTTAAAAACCTGGCTGGCTAATAGGCGACCCAAATCCGATGCCCTGTCGCCTGTAAAGAAATCTATTACAAAAAAGGTAGCATCTCTAACCAAAATATACTGACTAATTCTAGACAGTGATTGACTATCAACAATTTTTGCCCGTAAATGAGCAATTAAGTTCTGGAACTTAACAAAGAACAATGGCACAGCTTGCGAAGGCGAAATAGCCATACCCGCCTGTTCGACGCCAACAAAGTTCAAGTATTCCTTGATGCGAGGATGCGCGATAGGATTAGTGTGGTCGATGCGACCAAGTTTATTAAAGATGGACCTGAGCTTTCCAAGCAGGGAGTCAATGGTGCCAGCGGCTAAACGGCGGGGGCAGGCGCAAGCTTCTCCGGAACATGTGGGGACATGAACGACTGTTCGCCCTGACGAATCTTTATAAATGAGAAACTTAATAACGTCGTCTACCGTACAAGATGAAATTGTTTTAGGCGGGGAAACTGACGCGAGAAACGTAGATAACTGCTGCTCAAGGGCTGACTTTTGACGTTGATAGGGCCGACGCTCAAACGAAGACTTAAACTCTTGAAAACGCTCTTGAATAACCTTCTCATCCACAGGACCCCTGCCACGGGGAACAGCTGGCACCAAGGGCGCAGTGGGAACCCCACACGCTTGACAGAAATTGGCATCTGCGTCATTCGGATACAAGCACGAACCACAAAGACGGGCTGGTTTCCATGGTCGCGGAATCTAGCAGAAGACCGTAAACGGGAAAAAATTAGAAAATACAGCGATAAGCCCACAAGTCCCACTGAAGACGTCGCGCCGACCAGAAATGCGTGGAGCGAGAGGGAAAAAGCAACACAGCATCGTCGCCCTTCCTGCCAAGCAAAAGGCGATCGACTGCGACAGACTGAAGGAGAGCCCACCAAAAACGCCTAGGACGCAAATCCGGGACCACCAGAGTAAGGGCTCCATGGAATCCCTGATCCAAGAAATACCTCAATAGCGGACCGAGTAAAACGAAAGGCGGAAAAGCGTAAATGTTATGCTCCAATGGGATGGACTGCGCAAATGCGTTAACCCCATCAGAGGCCGGAGTAGGCCAAGGAGAATAATGAGGAAGCATTAGACCAGAACGATCCCTTCGACAGTTGCTGTCTAACGCCATAAGATCGAAGGAGTGAGGACCGAATCTGCGCTCCACTGAATTCCAGGCCTGTTCTGACAACATACAGTCGAGGTCCGAACACGCTCGAGAAGGTGCGTCTGCCATATTGTCGCGGGAAGGAACATAATGGACATCAATAGCCAAGTCTCACTGACGGCTACACTCCAAGATTTCCTTGACAGAATCGTTAACAGATGAATTCTTGCAGCCAAAACTGTCCAAGGCGGCCTTGAGGGTTCGATTATCAGCATGAATATCAACCCTAGAATTACGTACATGGTCTCGGAAAGCCAAGAGTGAGCGTACCAAAGCCTTAGCCTCGAGAGGTTAATATCATCCGAAGCATCCATCCAATAGTCTCTGGACTCGATCCTTCTCCCGTCCTTAAAAAGAACTCCACCCCACGAGCGTTTAGAGGCATCACAGAACAGGGAGACTATACAGTGTTGCTCCGACCTCCAAGGCAAGCAATCTGACCAATCGTCTACGAAGCGCCAGTGCGCCACATCAAAGCGGAGTCTTCCTTGGACTTTAGCAGCAGCCTTAGAAGAACGCGTAAGCTGGGCTATTGCGTTAAAGACTTCGCGGACATAAAGCTTGCAACCAGGGATGGCTAAACTAAAAGAAACGACCTTGCCAGCGAAACGATGCAGCGTTTTAAGAGTGACACAGGAGGATGACAAAATACTTTCCCGCAAGGTCACGAACTTGATCTTCTTATCCTGGGGAATAAGAAACGCCTGGCGCATAGAATCGCATAAAAAACCCAAAAAACAGACCACCGTAGAAGGAACGTACTGCGACTTGTCAGTATTAATGAAATAGCCAGCTTCGATTAGAATGTAACACACAATGTAAGCTGCAGCTTCAGCTCTCTGAGTGCTTGGAAGAATGACGGAACGCAGCGGAGAGGCAAAAAGCTGTCCCACATGACGGTCGTCAATATACTGTGACAGGGGAACCCCAAGGGAGCGAGCGGCATGCGAGACGACTAGACCTAAATTATGATAAATATAGGCGCTGGCCTTCCGACCAAAGGGGAGCGTACGAAACACAAAAAAGAAATTATCCCACTCGAGCCCAAAGTACGTCTCAGACGATGGATGCAGCCGAACATGCTGGTAGCCACTCTTGTCATCAAAAGTCGTCTGGAAATGCCAAGGCAAAACACACCGGGGCAAATCCGCCTGGTGATCTAATTTAAATGGAAGATCCCTAATCCATAAATTTAAAAACCTTTCGTCGTGGCAGAGACGAGGCTTGGACGGCTCAATGGTAATTGGAAGGACCAAATGAGGCGGAGACACGACTCCAACTTCTCCCCAAACGGACAAAACCCCTGAAGCCACCCACTGAACAATGGTATTGCTGATAAAATCAGCGAACTGTGCGCAAATAGCAGCGTTCTTGATCTGAATGGAAGGAGGGGTCTGCGCATGGTAGAACTGCCCCTTAAAATCCCCCCTAAATGGGGTGAAAAAATTCTCCACACGAACACCATCCCGGAGAATCTCGAGAAGATCCACCGCACAGGAATAATCGGCCAGAAGACGTTGCCAAACAGGGAAACTTTCGTGAATCATGCCAGCTTTAAAATGACCCGGGTCAGGGAAGCGAAGGTTGGTCAAAACACCTAACTCGGGGCGAGAGGAAACCATCTCCGGAGAGGCCAGGGGGCCAACGAAGGGCTGGGTTCCCTGTGCCAAAGAGCCAAGAGGGACAGATCCGCGAAACTGTAAATACGAGTCCCGAGCCTCCAAGATCTGCGAGGCGAAACGAGAATGACGCCTCTGAAAAAGGGAGTAAAGGGAAAACTGTAAAGCTAGGCGGAGACAAACAGGGAAACCAACCCCTCCTTGACCCCAGAATCCGAACCAGGTCCAGGACAGAGACACATAGGAGGTCCCCCAGGGTCAACGACGAGAAAGGTTTTTTTTTTCTTTTTTTTTTTTTTAAAAAAAGACATGGACCAAGATGAACACAAGCAAAAATGTTTTATTTAACAGCGAAAAATAAAACAAAAAAGGAAATTACAAGTCAACAAAATCTTGTAAATCAAACATCAAGCGAGTATATCAGCGAGGGTTTGCGCGCCCTCCATAACTAAGGGCTCCACGTCCCTGTCCGTACGGAAACTGGGCCTGAGTGGCCCTACAGGTGCGCGCAAAATGACCCAAGAGGCCACACTTGAAACATGGTCCTCGCCCGAACGGTATTCCAAGCCTTGGACGTATAGGGCCAACGTGCGACTGACCAGACGTCTTGGAAGCAGACTTTAGTATAGAAGCGGCTTCTTTAGCGACCTTAGCTCTAACGGGGTCTCCCAACAGCCCGAGCAATAAACGCTGCAACTCGGGGGAACTGAGAGAGTCCCATCTCGCTCGTACCTCGTCAAGGGCCGCGGCATATTCTTCAGCCTTCTGGTGTGCTTGGGTGCGCGCGAGGCGCACTAAAGCTTGTAAAATGTCCAACTCTTCGAAACGGTCAAAAGCGCTATTAGGACGGTTAAGGTATCTTCTAAGGTTAACCAAAGTACCCTCGGTAGTTTCCAAAGTTTTCTCCTGCTCAAGGGCTCGGACCTTTCTCTCTAACTCAACCAAACGAACATCAGCCTGACAGACAAGAGAAAAAATTAAAAAAAAAAAACAAAGGTGAACGAAACGAAAACAACAAACTGACAGTGGCAAAACGGGCCGCATAGAAGGCGATTAAATTTCCAAAAGGAACAGAAAGCACCTGAAACAAAAACTAAAGTAGACCAACCAAAGTCGTAAAGAAAAAACATTGCCAAATCAGCATGACTAAGACACTTCGCTACAAAGCGGTATCCCTCAAATACATATTAAATGGAAAACTACGAGCAAAAGGGAAAATACATAACCATACGGTATGATAACGAACTAACGTTCCTGTCTCCCTTGTTGATGTCATTTACCTTCCGCTTCTCTCAATCTTTTTTTTTTTTTTTTTTTTTGCATGCTTCCTTACCGCCGGAAAACACATAACCCCCAGAGTCGTACAACATGAAGCCACATGTCCTCGCATGAAATAGACATATAAACAAAAAATGACCACTAATATAATTTCCTCGCCTAAAAGCGGTATCTCATTATGACAAAACAGAAACTTCAATTATGCAAAGGTAATATACACACATCCGCTACCAGTACTCGTCGCTAAGAAGCGGTATCTCCTAACAAAAACGATAAACAGACTTCGCCTAAAGCGGTATCCCTTCGCACGAAAAGCGAAAACTCCCAATATGCCCCAAAATAAATTATGTACAATCACTAACACAACTTCGTCGCTATAAGCGGTATCTCCTCGCGTAGCAATATCGATCAACGTTCCTCGCAATATAAAGCGGCATCTCCTCGTTTGTGAAGCGAAAAACCCCCCAATCGCAAAAATATACGCACATCTTACCACCACCATTTCTCGCTATAGAAAAGCGGTATCTCCTCGCTAACAAAGCGGAAACCTCAAGCACTCACTTTCCTTTTCCTTCCCAAACTTAATAGATATAATATGTTTATAATTTTGTTTGTTTAACAAGCGAGCACAGTTAAGACAAATAAAGGTCCTATAATTTATGCCCTAAGGTGTAAACTTCTTGCAATAAAGCGTGAAAAAATCTGCATTGATGAACTAACACCTTAGCAAGCCGCTGAAAGCGGTAACTAACGAAACAATAAAAGGAAAACTTCTTACGCTACAAATTAAACAGCAAACTCTTACCGCGAAGCGAAAACCCTAAGCACACGTGAAAGCGTGACATACGACTAATCTCCTGCGCCATAGGGCGGAAAAAACTCGCTTACAAAGCGGCAAAAACGCTAGCATATGGAAAAATAACACCCGAGTAAACACGTGGCAACCAGCAAGCAAAACGGAGGACTACATTCGGAAGTATAGAAAAATACCTAACAGAGAAATACGTAAACGCGTGGCAAAGAAACGAGTGGCTCGCAGGGCTTGCTGACCGAAACAAAAGAAAAGCAAAAAATACCTCAGGCTCAACCACTGGTGGCGGAGCAGCTTCAACAGCGCCAGCTGGCTCTTCAACAGCCTCGTCAGGAACAGGAGCAGGCGGAGCAGGAAGGGCAGCCATGACATGAAAGGCTGGTGCCGGTCGACGGTGGATTGCAGCGACTGAAGCTTCCTTCACCGGAACGCGGGCAAAATGACAACGATCGAGGCAAAACACGAGAATTTAAGCAAAGAGACCGCAAAGCATCATACCTGCCCCGAAGACGCAGAGCACGGCGGAATCCGAAGGAAATAGCTCAAATTCTGTGATGCGCTAATTATGTATGCAGTGAGAATGGCAATCGCCTTGAATCTCGATTGAATCGCCACTCGGTGATTGGAAAAATCCAGTATACAAAACCCACCTGAGCATTTCTGCCTGCTAAACAAGGTTTACAGTTGATTCTAGTTCGGGTTTTACCGTGAAGTGGCTACATGATTGGAATAAGTTTGATCTTCCAAAGTTGATGCCAGTAGAACGCATTTCCTTTCTGCCTG